AAACATTATATGTGCAATTCAGCAAACATTTATTGATTTTCTGTAAGATTCTCAAGGGAAGAGGCTTTGTCTCTCTTGCTCACTGTTGTACTACCAGAATAGTCATAAGAGCCCAGTCCTTAGACATCATGGATACTCAGTAAAAATTTGTTGACTGAACAAATCATTGATGTTGTCATTTGGCCCTAACTATTAGGGTCCAGTGATCAGTGAGACACTGGTCCTATTTTCAGTGATCTTAACTTGCCTGCTAACCAGACGGCTGGCGGTTCAAACCCACCAGTCACTCCTCAGAAGGAAGTTTGGGCAATCCTACTTCCGTAGTGATACTGCCTCGGAAACCCAAGGAGGGGTCAACTATGAGTCGGGTTTGACTCGACGGCACATAACAACAACAACAACAAGAAGTAGCTGACGGTTCAAACCCACCAGTCACTCCTCGGAAGGAAGGTTGGTCAATCCTACTTCCGTAGTGATACTGCCTCGGAAACCCAAGGAGGGGTCACTATGAGTCGGGTTTGACTCGACGGCACATAACAACAACAACAACAACAATCAAAACAAACCTGGTTAATTTTTTGGTCACTATAAATTTCTTATAGTGACCAAAACAACAACAACAACATAAATTTTTTTAATTTGTTCAGGCTGGGTCCATTATACTTTGTCATTGTTTCATGTTCTGTACTACTGTTTTACAGCTTTGCACGTGTGTAATTATTTAACTTAATCAATTGCATGTTTATTGTTGATCTTCCACATTAACTACCCTAAAATCTGTAAAGCAATTATCTACAATGTTCATTTCTCTATATGAGCTCTGTGCCTAAAATATTGTAGATATTCACTAAGTATTTGTTACTGACTAACATTCTGAATAGGGAAATTTTACGGAAACTACAGTTTATTACATGCTTAAAATTATATAAAATTACAAGCTTATACTTCATCAGACTTATAGTACTTAGCTTTGTGTAGTATACTATACTGAAGATGATGGAGATTTTAAAAGGGTATAATAGTGCTAGCTCTGTAGCTCAGTTGTTGTTGTTTTACGTGTCGTCAAGTCAGACCCAACTCAGAGCGACCCCTCCTTGGGTTTCTGAGGCAGTATCACTACGGAAATAGGTTGCCTCATCGTCTTTCCAAGGAGTGGCTGGTGGGTTTGAACCGCCAGCCTTATTGTTGGCAGTCAAGTGCCTTAGGCACTATGCTACCAGAGCTCCTGAGTATTTTGAGTATTTTTAATTTAAAAAAAAAATAATAAATAAATAAATAAAACTCACTGCCATCGAGTTGGATCCGACCCATAACGACCCCTCCTTAGGTTTCCGAGGCAGTATCACTGCAGAAGTAGATTGCCCAACCTTCCTTCCTAGGAGTGGCTGGTGAATTTGAACCGGCAGCCTTCTGGTTAGCAGTTAAATGACTTAGGCACTACACCACCAGAACTCCTATTTTGAGGTACAGAACATTTAAAACATATGAAAGTGTGTAGTATTGTTGCTTCAGAAATATAGCTTATGACATTCATTCCATCTATTTATCAGATATTTATTAAGCATTTGTTCTGTATAAGACAATGTAATAGAGATAAATCAGTAAAATCTGATTCCTTCCCTCAAGAAGTCTATTATCTGATTAGGAAGATAGAATGTGTATGTATTATTAATTTTGCAGAGAATGTACTAAGGTCCTGAGAGTAACTAAGAAATTAATCAAGATTTATGATCAAAGGTTTAGAGTCTCCAGTAATTTGGTTGATAGTTCAACAGAATAATCTTTCAACTGTAGGTACTGATGATGATACATTATCTGTAATAACAATATTTTGCTGTTGAAATATATTTTCAAATTTTAGCAAATTATTTTCTTTTTTCATTATTATTAAACCTTTATGTGTCACTTCAATTGAAAAGTCACTGAAAGCACATACCTGTTGTTATTGATGCTTTATAATACAGTGGATAATTCCGATTATATTAAAAGTTCCATAGTTTTGAATAGTAAATGAATGATGTTTATTAGCCTCAAAACAACACACTTGTCTATTATCATATTTAAATGCTAGTCTTTAATGAATTTTTTAATCATTTTTATGGGTAGAATCATATTGCCAACCTTTCGGTTAGTGGTAGAGTGAAAACACTTTGTGCCACCCAGAGACCTATGTAGATACTACATACATTTTAATCCTGTTTCTCAGCTTTCCCTCAATAAGCCTTTATCATTAACAGGGTTTGTGCCTTGCTAAATAATAGCACGAACCAGTAACTATCAATTATTTCTAAATAACATTTTAAGCTGAAATAATAAAACTTGATCCATTTAATTGTTGTGGATTTTTATTTTCATAAGATCTTAATATTGGAACTTAATTGTATCTGTTTCATATACTGTATTCTAAAAATTATTTACTGTCAATATTTCTCTTTTATGCTGACAGTTTAGTGTAGAGATGGATTAACTGAGTAGGAAGAGTTTACTATTACAAGGACAAAGGAAACAAGACAGAAATATGGAAAGTTTAGGTGTGTATACTTTGTGTATATGTATCAAACTCATGGTTTCTAGATGGTATTAATACATTTTTCTTATATTGTATAATATATTGAAGATAATACTTCACATGTGGTAGATAGGATCCTTTTAGGACTCTGATCCTTTCTGCCCTGATTTTGAAACTCATATGAATCTTAACTGTTGGATTATTGATTACTGTTTGTTGATGCCAACTATTTATTAGGAATTAGAGTTCTAGAGATAAAATATGGATCCAACTCTCAAAAAGCCCACAGTATAGTAGAAAATTCAGAGTAATGAGTTATTCCAAAACAGATGATTAGAAGTATAGTAGAGGAATGAACCAAGAATTTCAGAACATGAATGGTAAAAGGGCAGAGAGGCCGCATCTCCTGACCTCTAACTGCACAAGCGGAAGACAGAGTCACTATCAGTAACCCAAGACCTATTCCTACAAGGCCAGACATGCTGCCTCCCTCCAGCCCTTTCACCAACCGTTTCTCCCAAAGCACCCACCACCTCTCCCGGGGGTTTGATAATTCACTGCAGGGGCAACACAGAACTCATAGATTATGGGGTTTATTAGGGAAGCACCAGGCTGTAATTCAAGTTGAGGAAAAACTCTCAGTCTCTCTGCCAGCAGTGTGTGTCCCTCGGTGTCTCTCTCAGCAATGTGTATCTCTTGAGTCTCTTTCTCAGGAGCGCATGTCTTTCAGCAGCACATCTTCCTCAACCAGCAGTTAGAGCGACCTCTGCCTCTAGAAGGCCGCCTTTTGAGCCTGGCGGGGTGGCCAAATTAGCCAATCATAGCATCGGAACTCTAAGCACCTGAGAGAAAGCAAACTTCCCAGAACAATGCTCCAGTGCCACTCTCAACAGAAATTCCCCAGATGGATAACTTTTACAATCAGGAGCCCCTCAGTTGCTCACAGCAAATTCCACCACGGAGTTTACAAAGAGTTATGGCTAGAAAAGCCACACTAAGTAATTTACTGCACTGCAATGAAGCATTTTCCTTGTAAGGGATTTATGGAAGGCTTCCCAGAAGAAGTGACAACTGAGTTGGTTTTAAAGTGTGAATATAATTAAAAGTAACTCCAGGCTTTTTAAGAAATGAGCACTGATTATAGGTGTTTTGCAGCCAAGAATATGATTTATATGATTTGTCTGGAACTATTTTTTTCCCCCTTTCCATTATTTGTTGAATCAGAAAGAATAACTTAATAAAATTCAGTATATTTTAACGGACAGATAGTACCTCCCCAAATTATGGAAAGGGGTAAAACATAAAAAATTTGGTAGTAAAATTAAGTCTTTTCCCATAAATATCTTATTTTTGGTTTAGAATTATATTTATTTATTTATTCAGAGATACTAGATCCTGTAATTGTACCAAGATACTGTTGGTTTGTGTCTAGACCTGCCACTTATTGCTGTGTAACCTTAAAGGGAGCCCTGGTGGCACAGTGGTTAAGTGCTTGGTACTAATCAAAAGGTTGGCAGTTCAAACCCACCAGCTGCTCTGCAGGAGAAAGTTGCAATGGTCCACTTCTATAAATATTCCAAAGCCTTGGGAAACCTGTGGGGAAGTTCTTCTCTGTCCTATAGGGTCACTATGAATAGGAATCAACTCAGTATTAATGGGTAACCTTAAATAAATCCCCTCTGAGCCTTAAATTCTCTTGGGTTGATGTGAGAATTTAGTGAAAAAAAAATGTTAGGGGAGATGCTATGAAGTTTATGAAAAACAGAGTTATAAATATAGGGTGATATTAAGTAACATTTTTAAACATTTTAAATAACAAATCTCAATTTTCCCAAAAAATAATATACATAGCTTTCCCTAACTGTTTGAAATTAAGCTCCCCATGTGAAATAAACCAGAAGTGGAGTTTAAGTGTTCAAATTCAAAAATTGAAATCAGTTACTACACATTTAGGAATGATAAATTAGTTATAAGTATCTGGCTTTATTTTCTAGGTACTTGACATTATTTGCTTTATTATTATTTAATTATTTATATATTATAGTTGCCAAGTAGTTGCTATGTTTAAAATACATATTTTGCCAAGTAAGTATCTTAAAATAACATACTTTTAAATGACTTAAGGGATGAAGAACAATTTGTTTGTCAAAATGACTCACTTAAGGTGAGGGATAAACCTTGGCTTTAAAATTCCATAGATGCATTAGTCATCTAGTAGACATTAACTTAATAATTCAGCTGTACTTTACCCACCCTATCAGCTAAAAAAATTAGAGACATGCTTTTAACATCTGGTAAATCTTTCCTATTTCTCTCTTGATAGCAGAGCTGAAATTGATTTTTGTTGTTTGGGTTAAGCATTGATAATTTAATTACAAAGGAAAACATAGAGTTGATTGTATATATTCTCTAAAATAGTATTGAAAACTCATTGTAAAATGATATTTTATTCTTGTCTTATATAATAGTAATAATTATTATTCTCTTATAGCTTATGTGAGTTCCTCTGTGGATGATGAAGCTTCTTTGGACAACACAGATGATGAACAACCAAAACAACCAATGAAAACTACAATAGTATTGAAAATTCAACAAAATATAGGTATTTTACTTATTTTACAACATGGAAAAGACAATAGTTTGGATTTGAGTTTTACTGTTACTGTGTATTCTAGAGAAGTTACTTTCATTTTTCTTTCTTAAAATGGTTTTTCTTGTTAGTTGCCAGCAAGTCAGTTCCGACTCATGGTTACCCTGTGTGTATCAGGGTAGAACTAGGCTCCATAGAATTTTCAAGGCTGTGACCTTTTGACAGCATATCGCCAGGCCCATCTTCCAAGGTGCTTCTGGGTGGGTTCTAATTGCCAGCCTTTCAGCTAGGAGTCAAGTGCTTAAAGATTAAGTCATTACTTACTGCACATTCTCCAAACTGCCAGTTCTTAGAGATAAAAAGATTCATAAATAAGGCATTATCAAAAATGCCCTCAAAGGCAACAGTTCCTTTTGTTTTTTAATTAATATTTTTAAAAGAAAAACACGTAGAGGTCTTTGAATCTATTAGTATAGTTGGATCTGTGTTCCCATCCTAGTATTACCAGGATTGCTACTACAAGAGATGTTTATATGTATTCTGTGAAAAAGTCAAATTTAGCTTTGGAAATTTATGATACATTTTAGTATTAAAGGCTCCAAGAAGTGTGGCAGTAATAATAGCCTCACATACTTTAGATTGATAAAGAACATACAGACTATTTTTCAGCAGAATACCAATTTGAGGAATAATTGTATAAACATTAAGACTTTTTACTAAGACTTGGGAGCTAGAAGCTTTAGTTGTAGTTCTTGTCACTTACTCCTTAGAGAAACTTATATTGATTGCCTAAGTTCTTTGTACATTTTGTATGTGTATGTGTGTATATATATATGTACTTGTCCAGCCTCTACTCTAGTCATTTTCTTGGAAGTTACTATAATCAAGGACAGATACATAACAATAAAAGTTACCACTCCAGACTTACTAATTCTTAGGATTTATAATGATGGAACCTGAGCTTCTGCATTTTTCAAAAGCTATACAAATGGCTTTGCACCATCATGGTTGAGAACCACTGCTGGTTGGGGTTATCTTTTTACTTGAAGGTAAATATCATAAGGGAGCTCTGGTGGCATAGCGCCTAAGGCATTTGACTGCTAACCAGAAGGCCGGAGGTTCAAACCCATCAGCCACTCCTCAGAAGGAAGATTGGGCGATCTACTTCTCTAGAGATACCACCTCAGAAACCCGAGGAGGGGTCACAATGAGTTGGAACTGACTTGATGGCAATGAGTTTGGTTTCTTTTGGAAGTAGCATATGTGTGCTGGTATGCCAATTTAAATATTTAGAGAACTTTTTAAAGTATGTGGCAGTATTTTTTCTCCTACATAGGTATATGTAAGTCATTGTATGTGAGTGAGAGAGACTTTTTTTTTTTTTTTTTGGTTTTGCTAAAGTGATGAAAAAAATGATCATTCCAAACCTTTGCAATCTGATTTTTCAACTTACTGCTATATTTGCCTCTAAGACTATTGGCTCTTAGTATGTATGTGTTGCTTAGACCTATCAGTTAGTTACCCACATCTCAGTGCCTAGGATCACTTAAGCCTTCCATTTCCATTTGTTTTGTGTTTTTTACTTTTAGGTGTGATTACTGCCTTTGCAGTTGCAGCCCTTGCTGCGGGCATCTCCTTTCATTACTTCAGTGATTAAAATGAGGTACAGAGAGCTTCATGATCATCCAGAGACTCTGACCAACAATTATGAGTAATAAAGATGCAAATAATTCATCTGCATTTAAGACAACAGCAGCCATATGTGCTGCCGTAAATGCCTACTAAGGTGTGTTTCTGAATAAGATGAAATCACCAGTTGCCTTGTTTAGGCCTGCTTATATTATAGGTGGCCTAGGTTTCCAAAAACAAAATATGCATCTAGGTGGAAGTTGCATGTAACAAATGATTGTTATTTTTAAAATCTTCAAATGTGGCATATTTTCATAGATTTTAGTCCTGTTGATCTCAATCCCACATTGAGCAGGCTATTGAAAATTTGAATAGTCAGGGTTGGCTCAATATCTTAATAGCAGAACCTCAGAAAAAATTTCTGCAAAGTGGGGCAACAATCTGTTAGATAAGTTTATACTCTAGAACTTTTCTAGTATACAATTCCAAGACACTGAGTGTTCTGTTATAAGAGAAGATTAGGAGGCCACATTTCCAGAGAAGTTTGAATCAATAAGGACTGACCTAAATCTTGCAATTTCTCAGTATATCGTAACTTTTAATTTATTAAATAAGACTTTTGCTTCTAACAGTATGTTAGATTAGATGCTGTGGAATAACTAGATCTTAAATAAAATCTACTTTTGAATGCATTTCTAGGCTCAGATCTCCAAGAACCATACCTATATCTTTCCCTATCTCAACTGCTAATAGTGAAGGAACTCTGGTGGCATAGTGCCTAAGGCGTTTGACTGCTAACCAGAAGGTTGGTGGTTCAAACCCACCAGCCACTCCATGGAAGGAAGACTGGGCAATCTACTTCTATAAAGATTTACCACCTTGGAAACCCAAAGGGACTCACTATGAGTTGGAATCACCTCATGGCAGTGAGTTTTGTTTTTTTGGTTTGGTATAGTTAGCATACAGATGGTCTGTGGTTGTGCAAGAGCGATTTCAATAGCAGTACTACCATGCAGTTTGCTTTGGACCAGAAACAAGGACAGAGATCTTAATCTGAGATTCTGCCTTAAATAGTTGAAGGAGGACATAAGTGGTTTATAGTGCCCTAAAGATCCTATCAGAATCAGGTATGTGTTCTCTCAAGGGAAAAGTATTCTTATTTAGGGACAATATTCACATAGATTAAGATCAAGCAGTGTTATTTTGTGACTAGAGATCACCATGTACAAGTTGAAACTAGCTAGCAAGAGAGAACCCTTAGAAACAACAACATTAGCTTTAATTCTCTTAAGTTCTCATTACCAACACAAGCAATAAAGCATGGAACCACAGGCACATTTGAAAAAGAACCTCACAAAGGAATAAAACAAAATTAGAAAGTAAGTGAGAATGCAACTTCTACAAATATACTTACTGAAATAATAATAATAATAACCCTTTAGACATGTTGAGTGTCATATTAGGTTCAGCTGAAGAGAAAATTACTAAACAAAAAGCTAGATGTATAGATATTACCCAGTGAACAGCACAGAGAAACAAAGAGCTGTAAAATACTAAAAAAAAAGTTACAGAGAAAAGAATTATAAAAACTAGAAGTACTAGGAGGAGAGAATGAATGGAGGAGAGTCAGTATAGGAGAGATAACTGAGGACTTTTCATATTTGGAAAATCCATAAATCCAGGAAGCACAACATATCCCAAGCATTTATATTAAAAATACATACTTAGATCTAATGTAGTTAAACCACAAAATAAACACAAGATTTTTAAAACAACCAAAAAGGAAAAAAGAGCTCATCAATAAAGGTATGACAACAAAATACTCAGTATGTTCCTTGTGATAGTTGGTTGGAGTTGTGTGTCAACTTGGCTAGGCCATGATTCTGAGTGGTTTAAGCAGTTATGATGTGGTTATTCCCATGATGAGATCAGATGTGTATGCTTTGAGCAGCCAGTCAGTTGAAAGGGAGGTTCCCTAGGGGTGTGGCCTGCTTCCAATGTATATGTGGACATCCTGGGGAAAAGAGAGAACCTTCTGTGGATCTGGAGCATGGTGTGCTGCCTACAACTGTCTGTGAGCGAACAATCCACCATTTTGCCTGATGATCTTGGATTGATCATCCACTGACGTGAACAGCTGGTAGGTATACTGCCTGCTAACTTTGAGCTCATCAGCCTCTGCAGTTGCAAGGAAAAGGCTCCAGTTTGATGTTTGATCCAGGAACTTGGAACTTGTTAACTTCTATTAACTGTGTGAGCCATTTTCCTAAGATAAATCCCTCTTTCTCTCTCTTTCTCCCTATATATGTATAAGCTTTACTGGTTTTGCTTCTCTAGCGAACCCAGCCTAACACATTCCTCAATAGCAACGATGGATCCAAAAGATAATAGAACAATACCTTCAAAATTCTGGGAAAAAAAAAATTCAGATTTGAATTTGTACCAAGAAAAATTTATTTTAAATAAAGACTTACTCAGATTAAAACCAGATTTTACTACTTCACAACTTCATTAAAGAAACAGCTAAAGTTTGGTCTTCATTAAGCAGAAAAATGATCTGAAAAAGATGATCTGAAATCAAAGAACTAGTGAGAAAATGAAATGATACATATATGTAAATCTAAAATTTTGCTTGTTTAAAACATCTATAATGAAGTAAATCAGAACTAAAATTGTAAACATATTTAAAACTTAATAAACATCACTGCTATACAATATTCATGTGGAATTTAAAAATAAGGATATAATTGAAATTATGGACAATAGCTCCTAAGTTGGGAGGAGGGTATTTGTACTCTCAGGACCTTTTATTCAGAAAACAGTTTAAGATATTGGTTAAATTTGATTATGTTAAGTACACATAGTAAAATTTTAACGGTAATTGTTAAGAGAATAGGCACAGAATGTATAATTCCAAAGGAAAGAAAGTTTAAAAAAATGGAATGCTGATGTTAGGGGTCATTTACTTGGTTCTAACTCATACTGACTGTGTACAACAGAAACACAAAAAATACCAAAAAAAGGAAGACACTACAAAGGAATAAAACAAAATTAGAAAGTAAGTGAGAATAACAACCTAACTATTAATAATTAAGATAAATATTAATAGACTAAAGTACCCAACTAAATGGTAGATTGTTTATTTAGAATTTTTTTTTTCATTTATTAAATCCAGCTCTATTCTGTTTAAAAGAAAAACACCTAAAACAAGGACATAGAGAAATGTAAAGTAAATATATATATATATATATTCTTTAGGTAAGTACCAAAAGAAAACTTGTATACCTTTCATAATTTTAAATAAAATTAGATTATACAAAAGTGTTATGAGTGATAAAGTCACTAAATGAAAAAGGGATCAATTCACTAGGAATATATAACAATTTTAAATTTGTATACGCTTAATAAAATGGGAAGCTCCGGTTGCATAATGCTTAATGCATTTGACTGCTCACAGAAGGCTGGTGGTTCAAACCCACCAGCCACTCCTCTGAAGGAAGATTGGGCAATCTATTTCTGTAGTGATGCCACCTCAGAAAGTGCCCTGAAAATGTGTGAACTCAGAACTGATAGAAAACTAAATCAACAAATTGAGCAACATAGAGGAAATTTGAATAAAGTTTTCAAATATTGGTAAGTCTGATAAAAAATTACAGAAAACACGTTTGACAGTTGCAAAAATGGCGAGGAGGCCACATGTTCTGACCTCCTCTAATCTCATAGGAGGAAGACAGCATTACCAGCAGTAATCCAAGGCCTATTACTGCAAGGCCAAACATGCTGCCTCCCTCCAGCCCTTTCACCAACCGTTCCTCCCAAAGCACCTACCACCTCTCTCCTGGGTTCGATAATTCACTGCAGTGGCCACACAGAACTCACAGATTACAAGGTTTATTAGGGAAGCACCAAGCTACAAT